AACTAAAAATAAAGGGGACCTTACGCGGTAATTCATGAATGAACGTCACAAGAAGTTCCAAGATTGCCCGCTTTCGCTTTGATCATGAAGACCCTTACACGTTCAATCATTACTGATCATTACTTATCGTTGCTGATACCAATTTAGCGCAGTTGAAAACAAAGAAACAGCATAGATATGCTTAATTGGACATTGTCATTTATAATATTGGGCATCAAGAGAAAAACGGAGATATAATAATTACTTCCTAGTGCCTGAAAATCGTTTAGACCAAAGTTAGAAAAATATAAGTCAACTACATACAAAAATCTATGAAAAGTATTGCGAAAATAATCAATTTGTTAAGAAACATGGAAAAATTAATGGCAAATAAACAAAACAGTTAAAGATTTTTTTTCTATAAGTAAATTGTGAAGTTTCCACTTTTTTTTCTCTCCAATTTATTGCCTACTTGACTATTTAAAGAAAAAATAGTTGAAAATGGTTAATAATAACATAGACTAGGGATATAAACAACTATTTACTTTTATGAAATTATTTACTTAATAACGAGACCTAGGTAAACTAACCTATCTAGTTGTAAGGTTAGTCTCATAGAAAATCGTTTTGACAAAAGTTAGTAAAATATAAATCTACTACTTACAAAAATTAAGGAAAGGTATTGCGAAAATAATAAATTTGTTGAGGAATATGGGAAAAGAACTTATAAATATATACAACGTTAAAGTTTTTTTTTCCTAAAGTAAACTGTGAAGTTTCCACATTTTTTTTTTAATTTGTTGCCCACTTGACTATTTAAAAGAAATAGTTGAAGATGGTTTACAATTATAAACAAGGGATATGAAAAATTATTTAACTATTTACATATAATGAAAATCAGAAATTTATAATGGTTGTGAGGCCTAGGTAACCTAACCTATCCAGCAGTATGGTTGGTCTCCCCAGCCCATATGTTTAGTCCGGTCCCCCCTCCACTTCTCGTGAATGAACCTTTGATTTCCGGATGTTCTGAAATCCGCAGCGCACCACCATCAGTACTTCATTCACTACCTTACACGACAATTCGGAACGTCATTAGTGCAATTCCGATTGACCGTGTAAGGTCCCCTTTAGCTTTAGTTATCGCAAATAACCTATAACTAATTATTTTCATATATCGATGGTTCTATTTTTATTTTCACTTACCTATATATATAGTAAAGATAAGTACTACAAACGTGAAAATTTTTGAATATGTGAACAGTCTAGCTCAAAAACGAAAAGTCATCCGTAACTGATATTATGTATTTAAGATATGCATATGGCTGGGATGTACAAGAAACTTTTTCCTTAAAATTGGCTAATCCATTTTGCCATTTTGATTAAACTCAGTGCATCACTGTATAATTATGTCCAGGTGTCCTGGGTCCAAATAACCAAGTACCGCAAAATGGTCTGTGTGTATTAACAGTCTAGCTCAAAAATGAAAATGTGTACGAAAGTGGAATTGTATATTTAAGGTTTTTAATATGCTTGAGATGTTACAGCAACTTTTTCGTCAAAATCGGCTAACCGGAAGTACCATTTTATATCAACGATGAAACACATTTTTACGAATTTATCGAAAACGGTTCAGACAATTTTGATTAAACTCGGTATATCAACGTATAATTAAGTGGTATTTAATATCATTTAGGTCTTATCCCCATTGAAGTCACTTTATAAGGCTTGTTCAATGTTTAACATTTCTTTCTCTAAATTACCTTAAGAAATATTGCCAGATATAACTTCTGTAATAATTTGATAATTTAAAAATGGCGAAAAAAGATAAAGTGTTTATTTAGGTCGTAAATAAATCAACGGAAATAATAGTCAGAAGGTATACGTATAATATACCGTTGGAAAGCGGAGGATTTTAGAAACCTGTTACCTGTACCCATCATCCCTCCCCTCCCAAGCTCGATGGCACAAAAACTTATCCTCCCAAGATATCTTGTTGCTCGCCTTTTCTTAAAAACAAAGTAAGCGAAGGCAGAATTAGAAAAATCGTAGATGATATACAATTGAATCGGTGAGTGCAAAAACCACTTCAGTCAAAAAAATGCTAAAAAACGTATTCGATGAAAAGGAGCTTATAAAGGTCAAGATGTGTGTTGAGTGTAAGAACCACGTTAGCCTGTTGAGTAGATCCGTGAATACATGACATATTTTTCGATCGTTGAGCGCAGAAATAACATAAGTCAGTGACTGACGTGGTTTCTGCACCCACAGTTGGATCGCATGACCAACAGAGATGAGCATATTTATATTAAAAATATAAATACGAATACCATTTATATTTATGGTACTTCTGAATATAAAAAAAAATATGAATACAGATAATACATATTCACGTCTGTAAATATAAAAATGAATAATGCTGTATTTACACTAGTAAAAGTGAATAAGGCAGTATTGACGTTTATCAAAATGAAAACACTTAAATTTACAGAAGTGAATAGAAATATTTCCACACAACCTTCTTAATATTTTTATGATTACCATTTTTAGTTCTTATGTTATTACCTTATTTTGATTATGTTTACTTCATTGGTCCACACTTTTTATTATTTATTTCTTAGTTCTTGTTATTGTTATTATTCTACCTACTTTATTTTACTTTAATGTTCCCTTATCTTCTTCATTTTACTTTAAGTTTTTTTACCTATATTGTTTACGTTTGTCATACCTATTGTTATCTGGTTCTTTTCTCAACCATGAACTTCGGTTCGAAACGTCGGCAAATGTTAAAATAAATATTATTATTTATTTATGCCATTTTTATTTTAACTGATCGCTCCAACCATGCTTACTTAATAACAATTAATACAAATTGTTAATTAAAAAGAGTATAAACTTTTAATGAATGGTTACCATTTTCTAAGTAAACGCAACTAGCGTCATTAAACCCTCTTTTGGACACTCCTGCCTATCATAGCCGTACTCAAAACCAGGACTCAGAATATTGATACAGTGCCTTACTGAGCTATCTCGCCATTTTATGGAGAGAATTAGTTTCCATTAAATGATATATAAGTAGAAAGTTCAATTTTATGAATGAATAGTTTAAGCATTATGCTAATCGTTGGCTAGTTTGGACAAACTGGTGAATGGAAGATACGCAGGAGGGTTTTCCAAGTTACCTAACACTTCTTGGGTTTTCCCTAAAAGAACAAGGTCGCAACGGTTCCAAATGATTTACTCCGTTGACCCGAATTCGTGGGTTCAAGCTCGTTACGCGATCTACCCTAGATCAGAGATTACGCACTGTCTAATCTGAGAAAACAAAACAAAACTCGATAATTTATTATCCCTAAAATAATATTACGCATGTCATTTCTTATATATTTATTTTTAAAATATCCTTCATAGTCTAAAACAATTATTAATGTATATATTTATTTAAGAATCAGACGTGGAAAGTTATTTATAATGGACTCCAACAAAGATTCCAAAAGGGAATCCCTGCTCTCGAATCCAAGCGAAAACACGTTTGCGCATGCAAACAAAATCGAACGAGCCGTTTATTAAATATAGGTATAACAATAAAAAAAAAAAAAACGACTAAAGAAGTTGGAAAATTCTATCCATCCTAAGAGAATGTACTTCCATATCTACTTAAACATCTTGGTAGGTAGATATGGAAATTGACATCTATGAATATTTAATCTTGGTGTAATAGTCTGGTACCTATCACTACACATTACGGATTCTGGTATGTCAACATTCGAAATAGTCTTGAGTTTCGATCGGAGTATGACAGGAACCCAATTTCATTATTCGTTTTTTTTTTTTAATTCAAATATATTTTTACTATTTGGCAAAAAATTCGCAGAAAATTTGGTTTAGTGAAGAAATGGCAAAACAATATGAAAATAAGTAGTCCCTATGTATTATGTAAGGAAGGAATTAATATTTTTTCCTTGGTCGATTATAATATTCCATTTAACATAATAGACCAAAATATTTATACAAATTGCTTTGCTAGGACCTATTTATAAACGCTGAGTGGAAAGATAATAAAAGTAATAAAGACAAAATAATGTCCCGATAGGATATGTTGAATTATTAAAAAAAAAAATGTGCAAGAACAACCAAATGTCTTTCAGAAAAAAGATAATATAAAGGCCAGGACAAAAAATGTAGTAGACTATTCTACTCCTAAATGCAATATCTTTAAACAGGAAGATATTATTAATCATACCAAAACTAATGGAGTGCATCTTTGTTGATAATTGTTCGATTTTTTCATTTGTTTTCATTATGTTTACTTCATCATTCCACACTTTTTACCACTTATTATCATTTATCTCTTTGCTCTTACTATTGTCATTATTCTAACAACTGAATTTTACTTTATTTTTTTTTTTACCAACAATACTTATGTTTCTCATACCTTGTTATCTGGTTCTTTTCTTAGCCCTGATGATGGCCTGAACTTCAGGTCGAAACTTCGGCTAATGTCAAAATAGTATAATTTATTTTTGCCTTCTTATTTGACTGATCACCCCAACTATTCTTCTCTCCACTATTTTTTGTTTCGTATTTCCACTATATTTATCGATAATTTAACAATTGATTTCTTTATCTTTTGACACGTTGCATTATTTTATATGCTTATTAAATTTGCGTTTGATAACAATATGCTGTCCGAATTTTTCGCACGGGCTTACTAGTATATAATATAAACTCTTAATAGAAAACTAGTACAGCTTAAAAAAAGATCATGTCAGACATAAGCGAGCACAGATTTGCTCGCGATCGAACGTGTCTTCACGCTCTAGGTTGGGTATAAATATATTTAGTAAATATGATCACTATGAATAAACATGTCTTGTTGATATCGCTTATATATAGAATGTATCAGGGAAAAAGGGCAGTTATCCAATGAGCGTTCTCATTGCAGCATACTAGTATTACTATCATTTTGCTATGTAAGTATATTATAAAGTATATAATATTATATGTATATATGTTTGCAGGCGTCATGGGACCACAGGCGGTGGGACAATGGTGGTTGTTGGTAATGCTAGGCGGAGCTGCCAACTCCGGACTCCTCGACTGGTCCAGGAACAACAGGATAGAAGTCAACGTGCCCTGGGTACCATGTGAGTCTCTTATTAAATACATGAATCCATTATATTATATAGATAGATAAATAGATAGATAGATAGATAGATAGATAGATAGATAGAAAATAACTTTATTCTGGGACACAGTCCCCTAAAGATTACATCTGATCAAAATAAAATCAATACAAAACATCTGGTGTGTCCACTCACACGACTTTCCTACCTGTTTCTGAATAGTTTTTATATGTTTTCATATGTGCATGAAGAACCAAAAAAAAAAAAAAAAAAAAAAAATTGAACTAGATTTATTTTCTTTAAAATTGATCAAAGAAAAGATTTGAGTATGATTTATTTGATAAACTAAAGCAATAAAAACCGGCTTGACACACCTCATTGGTCACACGAAATAAATTATTGAGTCTTGGATGGGACCTTTTATTCCACTCTCCCTATTCACCAGACCTAGCTCCAAGTGACTACCTACTCCATGAATGAAAAACAATACCAAACGGAAGAGGACATCAAAAATCACTTGAATCAGTTTTTTAACAATAAACTCCAGACATTCTATGAACATGGCATTATACAGTTAGTGGAAAGATTGGAACAAGTCATATTTAATAATGGTCAATATATTGTAGATTAAAATAAATTTCATGTCTATAATATATTTAGTTTGATTTCACTCTGAAAAACCGAAAGGACTAATTTTTCAACCCAATATATATATATATATGTTTAAATATAATAACCTTAATGAATGACCAACGTGCAGGAATATACCAGCGTACAACTAAAGCAGAGCTTTCTTCTCCCATTGAAAGGTATTGAAATCCCCTTTCATCTCAATAAATCCCAAATAATGGCCTACAATGCTCTGATAAAGTCAGTTTTAATATTTGGCTGTGAGAACCGAACACTAAGCAGCAACCTAGAAAAACTATTGAAAAAAAAAAACTCCGCACGATAACCGGGCGATCTAGGATCTGAGTACTAACATATAGAGAAGAAATACCAATAAAGAACTGATTACAGAAACTGGTAAATCAATATCCCATGATATGAAGCCACGTATGATAAGATGGGCGGGGCATTTAGCTTGTATGAATCCATCTGGAAGCCACTACGTAACAATGAATATCTCAATAGAAGGCAAAAGATATAAATAAAAATAATTGAAAGAAGAATAATGTCAGATAGAGCCAGTTTTTATTTAAATAGAAAATGGAATGTTGCAAATCCTTAACTGGCTAGTTTGTTTACTCAAACATTTTAAAATTTAAATAAATATTAGATTTTTTCAAATGTAGGAGAAAGTTGAAGAGGAGTTTTTGCGTTCGAAAACGAGGAAAAGCTAACCGACTCGCCCGATAGAAACAATAATGGATTTGCCCAACCCTCTTTTGATTTTAAAGGAAGCAAAAAGGATACTAAAAAAAATATTTGTTGTCTGGTCAAGGAGAATGCGGAAATATCAGCAGGAAAATGGAGAAAAATTACAGGACGAGTTCCAATGAACCTGCGATGTAGCCAGTTTGTTGTACGACGAAGCTTCACAATTCAAACTGAATCCTCAATATTTGGAAACATTTTTGCAAGCGGAGACATAGCGTCAATAATGTTACAGCTATGCACCAACAGTTAATAAATTAAATTAACTGCATATTTATCGCAGATAATTTTGCAAAAAACTAGTTGTTTAGCTGAACCTTAACTAAATAAAAATCAAATAGCTAATTCACAAGTGTGAAATGGTTAATTATTTCAAAGAAACAAAATCAAAGGTATTTTAGAGAAAAAAAAAACTTTGAAAAGTCCTGTCAGACTATTTCAACGAAAAACATACCTAATTTTTTTGGTTAGCATCCCGCTTGGTCACCCTTCTCTCCGCCTATCTTCACCTCGTTGCCTTGGTATATGATATATCATTCTTCATATTAATTGACCAATTTCTATAAGCTATTCTTTATAGTACCTTTTCTTCCATACGTTAAGGTCCTGGTCCCATATAAAATAATCATATTGAATGTAGTTCACTTTTTTTCCCGAGAATTAGAATTGTAAATGAAGATTTTTATTTTTGTTTATGAAGGGGGTAGCGGACATGTTTAGACAATATTATATATCAAGCCAGCTTTGACCAAATACTTTCTCCCTTCATCCTACGCACTCTTTTCACTTCTGCCGAACCACAAATTGGTTCCAAGCGAGGAAGTTTCGTGTGTTTTTTAGGTGATTAGAAATTCGCGATTTCTATGTCAAAATTAGGGTGGTAAATGATGGTATTTATCCCTAGTGCACTGGCTACGATTTCTTATGACCATTTTTGTAGTTACATAGAGGAATCACTTTAAAATCTAAAAAAAAAAAAACTAACGGTGAGTACTTTACATCACACTATAGAAGTGAAAACATCAGAAGCAGAGATTAATAATATGAAATAAAAATTTGTTTTTTTTTTCCATATTCACGAAGTAATAACATTTACAATTTAAGTAATTATAATTGTGTATAAACTACTGTAGTAAATTTTGCTCTGACCGATCGTCATTTGTATCATTCTCTAAAAATAATGCAATAGGTTTATGAAACCTAAAATATGTAATGAATACATTTGACTGAAATCTATTTGATAAATGTCTACGAAAAACTCCCGTAATTTTTTTAAAATAACTTCTATAACGGGGGTAAATAATTTGTTGAAACTCTATCGAGTACAACAGAAAATCTAATAGAAACACAAAAAAAGTTCTTATTTCTTATGTTTACACCTGGACAAACGACTCACTTAGAACCAGACTGAAACGACTAGAAACCGCCCGACGTTTCCGACTACTCCAGCACTTACTAGACAAACGCTCTAAGCTTTCAATCAATTACAAACGACTCAGATATATGATAATAATAAGACCTATTTGGACTTACGGAATTGAGCTTTGGGGCTCCATTAAACCATCGAATTCATCTCGTATCCAATCCTTACAAGATCCGTCGTTAAATCCTCAACGCTCCTTACTCTGTCACAAATAAAATCATCCATAAAGACCTTAATATTCCATATGTTTCCGATTCGGCCCAACCCAGATACCTATCCTTCCATAACGAACTCCAGAACCATCCGAATCCTCTCGTTTCAAACCTTGCTTCCTCCTTGATCTCTGATAACCCTCCGAGGCGTCTGAAAAGAACTACCAATGGGTAGTTTCTCTTCATGTTGTACACGTCATCTAACCAATGTCACATTTACTTGTTGTATTTTTTACGCAATACATTTATAAATTTCATTACAACAAAAAAAATAAAAAATTCTTATTTTTATGGCAAATTAAACAAAACATCTATATTGACTTCTGCAAATCAGTTTTTTAATTCTCCATGGTATTGAAATTTCGAGATATTTTTGTCCAAATGTTCAAAACTGTTGTTCTTATGTTCCATTTCCGACTCTGACTCACCATCTCATCAAAATACAATTTTGATTTATAACTCATTACAGAGAAACTGAAATGCTGCACAATTCAGTCACTTACAGTATGCAGGTCCGATTTTTAGTTTCTGAGATATTTTTATCCATATCTTCAATAAAACTCGTTTTACTTTGGTTTTCGACACTATCTTTTTCTTTGCGCCTCTTATCACACGACGTTGCGTTAAGATACAATTTTGAATAATAGCCCATCAAAGAGAGAATGAAATGATGAACAATCCTCTCGCTTACAGTATCTAGGTCTGAGTTTTAGTTTCTGAGATATTTTAATCCCATATCTTCAATAAAACTCGTTATAATTTGGGTTGCGAAGCTATTTTTCCCTTTTTGACTCTCTTACCGGATTCGCGTCGAGTTACAATTTCGACAATCGGGTTTGTTGAGGTTTACTCATAAAATAATTCCCGAAACATATTTTAAAAACAAAGGGGGAAAAAATTAAGTTTATTCCAGATATTTAGATTCGAATTATTAAAAAAAAAATTAAAACCTGACCTCACCATTTTCTCTAAGAATTAGATTTACAAGGGAAGGTTACGGACGTAGGTTCACCGATTTCAATGAACCTTTTTTTGGTAATACTAGGTCCAAAAATGGAGTGGGAAAGCTCAACGGTAGGACACTAAACTGCCAATGCTCGAGGTCCCAGATTCGAATTCCTGCTCATTGCAGAAAAATTATTTCTTCTGTTTCATCAGACGTGGTGCGACCCTGGGGTAGGGGAACCCTCCTGGTGCATACCCAGCTCTATAAAGTGGGTACCCTTAATTAAAATTATTAATATATAAGAAAACCTGACGGTTGAGCGTGATCCTGGTCCTATCTCCTCCCTACACAAACGTTGGCCTTTACAGTATCTTCCCTAAATAGTACTGAACCCAAAACCCTTTCTGGGTTATAGCGGTACATGGTTAAAGCGCACGGAATCGAAGGCTTATTTTAGTGTAACAAGGGGAGGTTGCGGACGAAGGATCACAGATTTCAATGAAATCTTTTTTGATGATACTAGATTGAAAAATATTCGACCCAACTCCAATAGTTCTTGCCAATGCGATTTATGAGCTGGTAAAACAATATTTTATGATTTGTTTATATTACTGTTTTCTGACTTTTGTCTCCATGGATTTCTAAGTTATTATATATCAATCGGTTTTTATGTTTGTTTAAAATAAGAAAATCATATTGCTAGTTATATTAAACGAATTCTAGTGTATAATAAATAACAAAATCCCAAAGAGGCTTCCAGTAAAGAAGGCCAAGTGAATTGTTGCGATGTAAAAACAATTCTTAAACTTAATCTTTTAAAATCGAATTTGCTACCATTGGGTAGTTACTCAGCAAGTGTTTTTCATGTCATTATATACATTATGTTCTAATTTACTAGATGTATTTATTAAATACAGTTATAAATGTCTTTAAGAAATAAAATTTTAAAAAAATAAATCGAATTTGTTTGTTAAACTAATAATATAAATTTTTGACTTAATTTTTTAGTAGAATTTTTTTTTCATGCCGTTTACTAAAACATTCTTAACTCTTCAGGATTTTC